ACACCATACTCTTTCATGCTATATCCATTCAAATGATTGAAGTCTGCCATTTTATGAATCAAAGCTGTACTTATCTGTCTGTGTGGCTTTTGTGAATTCATACAAAGTTTTTAGAGATGCATTCTTATGTAATGAGACAATTGCATTGTAAGGCAGCAGGTATTATGAGACAGGCAGATTTAGTTTAGTTTCAAAGAGAAGGATCATGAGTCATATGAAGTTGAATTATTAATCTCCAGTGTATGACATCATTTTGATCTTATGGACCAATTTTAGTAGGATGAGGGATACTTGACTTGTGAATTCCAAGATAACTTGCAGAGCTGTGATATCGCTGTTCACTCACTCGTACTTCACTTTGCGTAGGCATATTGTGTTTAGGAAAACGCTTTTTGGCTCGCGCTTTAACGCGCGAGCCAACTTGCGCAGAGACAAAGGGGTGGGACACATTGTGCCAGTAGGGCCCACCCCCTATTTCTGTGCGAGTTGACTCACGCTTTAAAGCACGAGCCAAATAGCAGTGTTGTTGTGTTTATATCACCCACGGCAGTTCAACAGTACATGCCCTGGTCAGTTTGTACTTTTTCACTGGTAGCAAGAAAAGAGCGCTCACGAGATCCATGAGCTCATTGGATTCTCCGACTTCTTTCGCCAACTTACTCTGAATAAAGTCTACCTCTCATGAGGTGAAGGTCGTATTTGGTAAAAATCTGCATTTTGAGAAGGGCCTGAGTATTTATACTAAGCTCGTCATAATCTTCTCTCCCCCTTTTTTTTCCAACTATTCAGTCTCTTTCAGCTCACTCTTTTTCATAATATAAAAAAAAACTCCTTGAAAGAAAAAAGTTCTGACAAGCAACGGAGCGTGAATTACAGACGGTGAAAGTGCATTTTCACATTAAATCCGGCCTTATCATAAACACAGGAGGCAAGATACACCAACTACCTACATAAACGCATCCCTTGGACAATCACCGAGCCTTTTTTGGGGGGGGGGCAGTAAATGCACATGATGCAGCATAAGCCGCTTTCTCTCTCTCTCTCTCTCTCTCTCTCTCCATCATCAAGCACTTTTTGTGGTAAATGCAGACAGACAGCTTAGTGGATACCCATACCGAAACTGAATCTGCACAGAGGTCAAAATTTGTCACATAGGTGAAGTACATCGGGAAAGCAGCATACTCTGGTAAATGAAAAGAAAAAGAACTGGGGTTGTTGAGTTGGTGTCATTTATAAACAAATGTACCACAAATCTTGTTTATGAAGCGCATTTAGGGTCTGTTTGGATGCAAAAAATAGAGGGGGAAAGCAGAGGAAAGCCTGCAAAAGTTTTGACTTTTTCAAAACTTAAGCAGAGGAAAGCCTGCAAAAGTTTTGACTTTTTCAAAACTTTTGCAGGCTTTCCCCTGCTTTCCCCCTCCAATTTTTGCAAACAAACGGGCCCTTACAGGAACTACGGTAAGCGTCAGTGAAGTGTAAAGTTGACGCGGTGTAAGCAACGAAATAAGGTGTCAAATCTCTAGTATCGTGAGCACCAGAGGACAAATCTGTTACTTCCCTGATAACTGCACTATTTTCATTTCTTTTTGCTAAACTAGAGGCACCTGATATTGCACAGAAATTATATGAACAACATCCATTATTTGTTTCTTTCCTCTCACCTTTTGAGAAGCTCAAAATCTGCTTCCGAATAGTGTTGCATTTCCCGACAATACATAGATAAAGTAAGACAGTCTTAACTTCTATGAGAATGGAAGGAAAAATTACAATGCAAATATGTGCAATGCAAATATTAGTACATGTAGAATGTAGATTTACCGACCAACCAAGGATCAATTTAGATGCTCCCATAAATAGATAGACAAACTGTGTTCATACTTAAATTGTTCTCACTCACTATTTGGAAGTTTAGTAGGGACCAGTTGTTTTCCAGGGTACTAAAAACTTTAAATCACTTAAGTACAATAGAATGCACAAGCAAGCCACTATTGTTAAAGGAAAATTAAGAGAGAGAGGATCAGGACAATCATGAACATTCAGTTATATTTTAGACCTATGCACTCAGGTTTTCCATTTCCTAGAATCGTGTAAAGTCTAAGAAGGAAATTATATCTTCTGAGTGACATTTTTCATATGATATCTACTTTAGCGAGAGACTTACAATTAGAGCCTCTATATGGAGGGATTTAAACCTTCTTGAAAAAGGATAAAATGTTTCCTTGCTTAGCATCCTTTCCACCACCTTTTGCTGGTTTCTTGTTACCGGCTTTGCTCACTGGATTGGTTGGGGCATTTCTTCCTGCTTCCTGTGCTTTATTTGCTAAAGGAGGTCTGCCATCAAAATGCATAAGAGGTCACAAATTGAAGAAATGGTAACTAGTAAAGGAAAATGTCATGAATAAGTTACAACTGTAACTTAATGGAAAGCTGCACATTATAACATGGAAAATCTGAAAATAGTAAAAATAACCCTTCGAAAGAGACAACAATGAAAAGTGACCTCTGTACGAGACCATGTTGAAGAGTGGCCCTATTCAATCCAATGTTCTAGTTGGAACCGTAGTTTGACAATAAGTTTTCTATATTGAACACTTTCCCATGGGCACATGTTCCTAAACAAAAAGGTATGTTCTTTTGAAGAGACACGGAAATGGTAAAATACATATGTATATATTTGTCAACGACATTGCCACTGCACCACAACTTCGGATAGTTTTATTTTCTAACATACCCTTGCAGATTGAGGACCCTTTCATGGGGCAAAATTTGGAATAATAGAGTGGTTTCTTCCTTAATCCGATTTAGAAATTTGTGGCCAGAAGGATTGGAACCTGGGTTGCTCTGATATCATGTTAAGGACCCGGCTACTGCACAAAGTTTTAAAGTTATGGTGAGGGTCAAGAGTAACAGTTTTATATTCTGTCAAGTGCGCTCAAACTAAAGGGTCTTTAGCATCGTGTATAGGAGCAACCCAAATTCGAATCCTCCTAGCCATGAATTTCTAAAGCGGACTAAAAAAAATACTGCTCCATGAATCCAGATTGCGACCACGAAAGGACTCTCAATCTGTGAGGGCATGTCCTACAGTGCTAGAATATAAAACTATAACCCTCAACTATCACCGCAACTTCAGAGTTTTGGTGCACTGTCAAGGTCTTTAGCATTATATTATATCCCTAATAATTGTAATATTAAGACACACCTAAAGATCATTATAAAGTATCACGTGTTTTTCTCTTTTCAACTTTATATTACTTCAGTAGATGGATAAATTTCTATAATGAAATTATATAACTATGAGTCTATGACTAAAAGGAACCTAGTTAATGAAACTTAATATAATTTGTTTTGATGCAAGTTTGGTTTTTTTTTTCATTCTTGCACATGAATTAATAATAACTTCTGTAAGTCATCAGAACATGTCAAACACGTATGCCTACCCCTGCCAGTAAGTGCTCTAGAAATTACTGTACAACAATGTGTATCAAGAAGATCATACTGCTCGTAGTTTTGAGTTATATATAATTCGTAGATCATTTAGTACTATCACTAACAGTAGTTTAGCAGAACTAAGTTAAAACATGCATCACAAACTGCATAATACAGCAACTTTAAAATGTCGTAACAGTTGGTGCCCCAGCTCTATCAGCTGCAAACTAGTTAAAAGGATGTTAGCAAAATCTCAAGTTTGTAGTGGAATCCTAATCAGCTTTATATTTCTCACAAAGGTGTTCCAAAGTTTATTTGCTATCAACTCTCTGTCCTTATATATTTTGTAGACAAGGAAAGATGTTCGTTAAGTTAGTTTTTAGATAAATTCTTTCGCTTTTGGTAAATACATAAAAGGTGGGAGGGAAATGAAAATTTTAAGTGCATGCTTTTATTGGCACTTGCATCCATCAGATACCTGCTCCCAACATCATTACTGGTCGTATTCTTATCAGTATCACAAGCAGCTTCTCCCTCCCAGACAACTTCAGTCACTGAAAAAGAAAGTACTATAATTAGGAAAAACCAGAGTGTATCTTTCTGAGATCAGTTTTATCCTTGAACTATTTAAATTATAGAATTCTTATTCTTCCTTCAAATGGAATAAAAAGTAATATTGCTGGAAGCGAAGAAGAAACGTAACTATGGAAGAGAAAAGTAAAACATTCTCAACTTACTACACGAGTTTTAATGCATGAATGTACAAAAAATAGCATAAACCCAATAAATCACTTCAAATAGAATATTTAATAATCAAAACACGGTAATCTCATATTGATGCCATGACCAATTATTCCTGAAGAGAGCAAAGGCGAAAATTTCCCTCAATATTTTAAACTTTTCTCAAGAAACCTCTCAACATTGAAATATAGAATTCATCCATGATAATTTTTCTGCTTCGAGGAACACTGATGTAGCACATCCAGAAGATTAGATTAGTTAGGATTATTAGGATATGATTTTGAGATATTTGGTTAGGATTGAATTAGTTATTTGGCTAGAATTGTTAATTTATTATTTTATTGGATTTGATAAAATCTATTAGTTAGAATTAGGATTTATTTTATTGCTATAAAAGGATTGTAATGCTTCATTTTAGAGAGGAAGAATTAATATGAATAAAAAGTTATGAGTTTTGAGAGATGTTTTGGAGCGACTCCATAGGCGTGAAGCCATGATTTTTTATTAGGCGTCCGGGTGTGAAACCGATCTTTTCTACTGTTTTCAGTGGTTGGATGTTGTGAGTTAACCTGGTCTAGCCTACTTATTTTTATCTTTCTTTATTTGATCTTTTATTCACTTAAAAAAAGTAAAAAGAAGAAGTTACTACTCACATGTACTGTTCACCAGGGCACTATTCATGATCACCTCTGTTTCACATCAAACATCCATTAAGAAGGAAAACAATAACAATAAGAACAGACCCTAAGTACTTGCCAACATGGTAAAGTGTCTTCAGGACCCTTGATAATACATGGAATGAAACAAAAATATAAAATCCATAATCCATAAAACAACTTGCAAAGTAGAAATCGATGTTATGAGGTTTAATCACTTAGAAGATTGTAACAGGGGCAGAAAATACATGCATTAACGGGTTTCTTTGTAGTCATGTTTTTTCGAATCAGCTATATCACAAAAATGAGAAGTTGCCAAGAGATAAAAGGAAACAGTAAATTGGGGCTAAGGCCCAATTTTCTCTCAAAAAAATAAGTTTAAAAATGCGCAGCAAATTCATCAGAATCTGAAATAAGAGATAGACATGGCTCCTTAAAAGGTTGTGGAAGTAGCCAAGCTGTCTCATTAATATCACAAGAAGATACATTCTACTTTCACAAATAATATTACTTTCCAGGGAGACATGCTTCAGTTTGGATGTAAGAACAATCAACTTTCCAGCATGAAGCTTTGAAAGCTTGATGATGAATGCTGTTATACTTTTTTAGTCTCAAAAATACTTTTTAGTCAATTTCAAACTTTCTGGAACCAAATGTCAGAATGATATTACATTTGCAAATCATTGAAGATTTCAGAGGTTTATTGCTGTCAAGACATGCAACATCTAAATTAATCTCGAGGTCCTAAGAGTACAGAATCTTAAGAAGACTTTTCACCTAACAACAGATATTATTGTCATTAAAAAAAAGCTGGTCACTTATTGCTGATTTTTTTTATTATTATATCCAAGCAAAAGAAAGCAGCATATTTAAAAAAAAATGCAAAGACTGGTAAAATACCTTCTCTACCACGCTCATCTATTCGTGTTTTTAGCACCTTTCTTCTTTTGGGTAAAGTGGAAGCATTAGTTTCCTCATTGTTTGCTTCCGTAACTTCATCAACTGCATTTGGAATATTGTTCTGACTCTTCTTATGTAAAGAAATCCCAGTAATGTCATGTTTGTTTCCAACTCTTAAATCACCCTCACATAATCCAGAATATTTCTCTTTGGTTTTACCTTGCTTAACCTCCAATTTTTCTTCTTTTGGGTGTTCAGAACTTAATTTCTTTTCCTCCAACTTTCCAATATCATGTGACGAAGTTGACGTAGGCCGCACATTTGGAGGATCGGGAGATGCAAGCCTGACTACATTTTCCTCTTCCTCATCTTCATCTGAAAAATCCATAACCACCCGTCTCTTTCTATTGTTTGAACCATTTAATCCTCTCTTGTAGTTTAGATCAGCCTCATCGTCATCATCACTACTCATAGCATTAGCTGCTTCCTCTGCACAAATTTGCGCTTCAGCTGTGACTGCATAACATTTAAGACAAAGTAGACAAAACTTAAATCAATATTGTCTAGCATGAAACAAAAAGGAATATATGGTCATACTTACTAGAGATCTTTGCAACATTGCTGGTAGTGTCTGTGGCAGATGCTGAAACCTTTGAAATCCCAGATGCACGACCCCATAAACTAGCTATAGAACCATTGCCTCCTGATGATGTCTCATTCTTGCCTTTCTTTTTGTTAGTGTTGATTGCAGCTATTGATTCTTTAGTTACATGGGGCTCTGTTTGTTGATTGTTAATTACTGAAGCACTTCTGTCACTTTTACCACTTGAAGCGGCCATTACAGAGGCCTCTATTCCATTTTTTGCACTTGACTGCGCCTGTTGAGGGCCTGGAGCATATGAATTTTTGAGGATGCTACTAGTTTTAGGTCCCATAGAAGTTCCATCATTTTTCAGCTGTGAAACACCACCCGCTGACTTTCCATCTACTGTGCGTTTGACATATGAATTTGAAACACCACAATACCTAGAGTTGAAGATAAAGATCAGCAGTTGCATACTGATACAAGAAGTCTCATTTGTGCCCCAAAATATACAGCTAAAAAGGCCTGGAAAAACACCAAAATGAGAAGTTCTTCAACAAAATAACGAAAAGAGTGCTCCACCTGTTGTCCCTTAAACAATTTTCAGTAGTCAAGGGCTGACTGAAGAGCTCTTCTGCTTGTACAAATTCTGCATTCCAAAGCAAAGCTAGATCCTTTGGGATGCAAGCTTGGACACTATAAATCTGAACTGAGAAGTTGTCTTTAAATTCCTGTTTTACTTCTGTACCATTAACATAAACACAATTAGAAAACTTGAGCATAAGAGCATCAAGTCACGCTAAAACATGTTATTCTCACAATGATGATGTATAATAGGTATGAATGCGAGAAGATCACAATAAAATTCTAGTAAAGTTTTGTTTTATTTTGTACTTGTCCACCTTACCTGCAAGATTTGATCTTGACGCAAGTTTTATGCAATACATTTGAGGATTTTTCAACCACCCAGATATTGCATAAACAACCTGTAATTTATTTCCATGCTCGGCAACAAAGTCATTCAGCAACCTAATCAAAATAAGAGGCAACTTTTCTAAATCATATTTCACAGAAGTTCATATACTAATTATTCTTTAGATAATTCCAGATCCATACCTCTTGGCATAATTTGATGACAACGAAAAGTTGCGGCTAAGCCATTTGTAAGAAACCTGTCGTATCAAAATTGAAGATGTCACTTATTGAAGTAACTCCAAGACGATTCTACTGCTATGAAGTTGAAGCAATTATCTTAGCGTCCATTGTCACAATGCTAATATCTAACCACTCTCAATTCTAACATATACCGTAAACACTGTAAACAGACAACAAAATTAGGAAAACCATGGATTCATAGTATCAAAATGTAAATATCTGCATAATTTTGTTGACCGAAAATTCATAAGGTCATGCACCTAACTCATTTTTTTCAACATGTCAATGAAGGGCTAAATTACCATATTGGTATTAAAAGGAGTACTTGATGACCAGATTGGTATTAAAATTACCTCTGGCGACAACAAGGCATTTAAACTTACACAATGAGACAAATAGGCCCAAAAACAAACTTTTCGGCCAACTTTTCCAGCGACTACTCACATAATTTTTCACGTGATGCTTATGTGACATATTTATGATAACATGACAGCTGTAGTTAGCCTAACTCAAACCATTAGAGGGGTATACTTTTAAATTAGTGTAAAAGCAATGAGGGGTTTTTTAAATCTGGGAGCTTCTTCTCCTTCTTCCATCAAATTAGGGTTCTCCATTGCTTGAGAACATGGATTCCTTGATCTCAAGCAATGAAGAACCACCAATTTGAAGGAAGGAGTCCCAAATTTTAAAAAGTCCTTCTTTTTAACCTAATTTGAAAATCACTTCTTCTAATGGGTTAAATGAGGCTAACTACAGTTGCTACGTGATTATAAACATACCACCTAAGCACATGTGATAGATTACCTGAGTGGTTGCCGAAAAAATAGCCTGAAAATTCATTTTTGGGCTTATTTGTCTCATCGTGCAAGTTTAAATACCCTGTTGTTGCCGGAGATAATTTTAATACCTTGTTGGTCATGGGGTACTTCTTTTAATGCCAATCTGGTAATTTAGCCATCAATGAAGTATTAAATTATACAGCTTTTTCTGTCGTGAAATTGTTGAGGGCAATTGCAATGCCACAGGACGTGTTTCTTAGATAGTTTTGTCTGATATCATTTGTAATGCAATTTCAACTATAAACATTAATTATAAACATTGCTATCTGTAGTTCCATCTGTAGACTCGTAACGAGGGAAATTCTAGGGTGCTCCCCATATACATAAGAATAAGCCATGAAACAAGCAAGGCAGTTTTTGTTGATAACATGGTCTTGAGTCTCTTGACTCGAGCCCCATGCCCATAATTGCATAGGCTAAGTTTTCCAGCACCAACTCAAAATTGACTATAGGTACGTACTTGTTCCTGGAAAGCTTCTCTTTCTAGAGCTGTAATATTTGATGGCCACACCCTTCGAATGAGAAAATTTCCGACCCCACAATTTTCAACAACATACAGTACCATCAAGCTCAATGAACGTGAAGGAGGTAAAGAAAGTACAGCACAACCTAAACCACATCATGATCCCATCTTCACTTGACAATCGCAATCAGATTCTAGGTGACGTCAAATACAGCCACCATTTGCAATTAAGGGATCATCAATTACCTCACAACTGTAACCATATAGTTCTTCAACACGCTCCCTCCTCATAAACACCTTAAAATTTTAACTCTGAATCTCTCAAACCCCTATTCAACTCTCCACGAAGGGCTCATTCACGTAATAGACACACCTAATAAATGAATCCTGCCCTAATTTTAGTCCTAATGCTGATATTGACACCAAAGACCAAATCTTGCACCGCTTGAAATCACAATAAAGCCAAAGAGGATGCTAAAGAATCGTTAATCTGGGGGATTAGGGGTTTTACCACTTGGAGTTTGTCGGAGACGAGAGCCTGGATCTGGCGCGAGATTTCTAGGGCTTCGCCTCCCGCCATTGAGAAGGGATCCGATCGTCGATCGCTGCAATCCACAGAGACGAAAAGGGCTCGGCTCCCAGGGTTTCGTTTCCCGCCCTTTCTCCAGAATGTTTGTTAGATTACTATCGCCTTCGCTCATTTTTATAGAAAGGGCGGCGGGGCTGGGGAAGTTTTAGGGGTATTTCAGTCATTTCCTTTTGCCGATAAGGAAGGGCTTTTTGGTAATTATACCATAAGATTTATTTTACTAGTAGGTGTTGCTTGTCCAACAACTAAAACTAAGTTGCTTATTATTTAATCTTTAATCTCGTGTGTGTTCGTAGTCCTTTCATTGAAAATTTATTTATATTTCATAACCATCGTGTCTTTTTCAGTTAGCGTAGCCAACAGCTATCATTACACATATTTTACATAGTATTATTATTATGTATGCATGAAATTTGCATAGTCCTCCGTAAAAGGAGCATGTTTTTTTTCTTTTTCCCTATTGGAATTGCAGAATTTACCAGATCATATATGAGGCAAATCATTTTGAAAATGATTTATATTTTGTAAAATGTCTACAAAAAATCAAATTCTTTAGCATCACATCAAAAGAAAAACCTTTTTGTATTATGAATTTAAAGACGTAGACTACTTAAATTTTAATAAAAGCTTACGACTATTATCAACACTGTCAATCTTTATCGAATTTTGGAATTCAAATCTAAGCAAATCATCATTTGTCTCCATCTATTCTATGTCACTTTATATAATTACAAAAAATAATTCAAAACGCTTAGAATTGTCTTATGAACAAGGTCAGCTTGCACTTAAATATTGTACAGTTTTTTGCTCACTTTGTATTTGTGTATGCCTTAGTTGTTTTTTCACAATATTCATATAACCTAAATTGTTTAAATTTGACTTACTTTTCTGTTTATGCAAACATGAATTTTTCATCAAAATTTTCTATATGACACTCACGCTCACACGCAAAATATAAAATTCTTATAACTAATAAATTTGTGAAGTCTACTATTAAATTTACCCACATTCTACTTAAAAAATATCCCAGTTCTACATTAAAATTGAAATAGGCTTCATTTTAAACTTGACAAGCATTAATAAAACCACATTGATTTATATTATCAAATTCTCCACATTGGCGAAGTGTTCACAAAACTGAACCGACACCAACATGAGCACCAATGCGTCATCTCACCAAATGCAGATGCACCAATGTGGTTGCCTACGTACCTCCAGGGCTGTCTAAAACAGCTCGCGGCCCGGGCCCGGCCTCGGCCCGGAAACCCGGGCCAAGTCCGGGCTCCGGGCCGGGCCCGGGCCGGCTCTTTTGTGCCCGGCCTGGGCCCGGCCCAGCCTGGAATAGTAGTTTTTTTAATTTTTTATTATTTTATGTATTATATTATATATGTATATATAAATATATATAATATGTATAATATATGTATATATAATATATTTTTATATATGTATAATATATGTATATATATAATATATGTATATATAACATATTTCTATATATGTATAATATGTCATATGTGTGTATATATATACTCTCTCTTAGTATATAAGTATATATAAGTATATATAAGTATATATAAGTGTGTTATATATATATATATATATAAGAATACTCTCTTTTATATATGTATAATGTATGTATGTATGTATATATATACTCTCTCTCTTAGTATATATATGTATATATAAGTATACTCTCTCTTATATATGCATACTCTCTCTTATATAAGTATATATAAGTATACACTCTCTTATATATGTATAATATATGTGTATATATATATATATATATACTAATATACTCTCTCTCTTAGTATATATGTATATATAAGTATACTCTCTCTTATATATGTATACTCCCTATTATATAAGTATACTCTTTTATATATGTGTGTGTGTGTATACTCTCTCTCTTAGTATATAAGTATAGTATATTACAACGGTTACTTCCCCATTGGCCCAACGAGCAACGGCTACAGGGTTACTTATGCGATTCTCTCTCTCTTAAATTATAACTTATAAATATATACAATATATTTACATATAATATATGTATATATAATATATAGTTACATAATAATTTAGAAGTATATACTAATACATAATTATATAAAAAAATAATAATATTAAACTAAATTTTATTATTTTTTATCAAAAAAAGAAAAGAAATTTAAAAAACCCTAGGTGGGATGTACTTATCTATTGTGATGCGATGAATTCCAAAATAAATTTATACTTGTAATTTGTAAATGATTTATTAATTATTAATAAAGAATTTATTTTTATAATTTTTTATTTGTAATTTATGTCATTTTAAGTGATTAATAAAATTATTATTATTTTATTAATTTTTTTGTCTTTTTTTATAATTTAAAACTTAAATAAAATTTAAAAATTTGAAAAAAAAAATTTTAAAAAGAAAAAACTCGGGCCGGCCCGGAACCCGGCCCCGTCGGGGTCCGGGTCCGGGCTCCGGTTTTGCCCGGCCCGGGCCCGGATTTCCGGGCCGGCCCGGATGGACAGGCCTACGTACCTCCCTCTCCCAAGCGATCAAGCCACCCGTAGTTCATCCAAATGACCGCGAACGACCTCAACAATCACGAATTTGCAACAAGTTTCTATAATGATCGAACTTATTGCTCGGAACCATATTTATGCGTATATCTGCTGGATTGTCTTTTGTGTGGACCTTCACGAGCTCCACATCCCCATCTTCAAGAACATCTCGAACGAAGTGATAATGCACGTCGATATGCTTCGTCCTCGCATGAAAGACCTGATTCTTCACCAAATAAATAGCACTCATGCTATCATAATAAATTGTGACGGATCGCTACGAAACACCAAGATCCTCCAAAAGTCCTTGAAGCAAAATCGCCTCCTTAATAGCCTCCGTAATCGCCATATACTATACCTCCATCGTAGACAAAGCCACCATAGACTACAAGGTGCATCTCCAACACACCGGCGCATGGGTTAAAGTGAACACATACCTCGTCGTCGACCGATATTTATCCAAATCTCCAGCGTAATCTGAATCTACGTATCGAATACATAGCTTCCCACCTCTAGTGTCTCGCTCAAAAACCAAACCAACATCGAGAGTACCTCGAATGTACCTCAAAATTCATCTCACGACATCCCAATGACACAGACCTGAGTCATGCATGTATCTAGAAACCATGCTCACTGCCTGTGACAAATCTGGCATCGTACAAACCATGGCGTATATCAAACTCCCAACTGCACTCGCATATGGAGTCTTCAACATCAACTCTCGATCTTTAACTGTGTTCGGTGAAAGGTCAGCTGAAAGCTTCAAATCGGCTCCTAATGGTATACTAACTGGCTTTATTTTTATGCTCATATTGAACCGCTGTAGAACCTTCTTCACATAAGCCACCAGTGTCAAATAAATTCTTCTCTTGTCTCTGTCTCTGCCGATCTCCATCTCCAAAATGCGCTTAGCTTCATCCAAATCCTTCATCTCGAACTCGCTCGAAAGCTGAATCTTCAATCTATCTATCACGGATCTGGAAGTAGAAGCAACTAATAAGTCATCAACATAAAGTAATAAATAAATGTGTGCACCTTCATTCAGCTTAAGATAGTACATGCAAGAATCAAACTGGCTCCTGATATACGAATGACCGATCATGAACCCATCGAATCACTTATACCACTATTGAGGAGATTGCTTCAAACCGTATAACGATTTCTCTAATCTACAAACCAATTAATCATTCCCTACAGCCCGAAATCCTAATGGCTAAGTCATATAGATTTTTTCATCAAGATCACCATGAAGAAATGTTGTTTTTACATCCAACTAATCTAACTCTAAATCATACTGTGCCACCAAAGCTAGCAAAATCTGAATCGAAGAATGCTTCACCACCGGAGAGAAAAACATCATTATAATCAATACCTTCCTCCTGTGCATTGCCCTTCGCAACCAACCTAGCTTTGAATCTCACGGGAGTGCCTTCAATGCCTTTCTTCTTCGTATACACACATTTGCAACTAATTTCCTTTCGTCATTTCCTATGAAGAGACTTCATCTCCTCCTGCATAGCCACCTGCCATAGGTCAGTCTCCAAACTCTGCTTGGCCTCTCTAAATGTAATAGGAACCATCTCATCGACACTCTCCACTAGAAGTGCATATGCAACAACTGCGTCTGTATACCTAGCTGGCATTCGTATGTCTCTTATCCGTCTTCGAACCGTAATAGAATCTTAAACCTGAGCCGTCGGTCCCTGATCCTGCTCAACTGTACCTGTATCCTCCAAATAATCACAGTGCTCACCTGGCGTCACCTTAATCGGCACTCTAATGGATACGGTCCCATCTAGACAATGTGGATGTCACACCCTGCTTCCCAAAATACTCGGGAATCAAAACGTGAACAAGCCCACGACATATTAGATTGAGAAGAAATATATACTATTATTTTTCCCTTTTTTCTTTCCTTCTCAATCCAATACGCTAAGCGTCTGAAAATAAATACAATACAAAGGCATAGGTCCCCGATCACAACCAGCAAGAATATAGTAGACAAACTCAGAATAAAAATATCATATCACAAATAGGATAACATCCGAGACATAATATACGGGTCAAACATGCCCTTATACAAATCTGAACAAGAGAATACTAGAGAGATACAAAATACATCGTTCAAGCAGGCATGGAAAGAACTATAAAAGTAACTGGAACCATCAACTAATAAATGAAAAGAATAGGCTTCGACTCCTTCTTCTACTCCGTCTACAAGGCACTCCTGCTGAGAATCCTGTTCTTCCTCTGAGTCTGACGTACACCAGAGAAAACAGGTGTACGTCAGCGTGTATGGCACACGGCAAGACCCCACGAAACAAATAGAACCACGAAAACCAAAACGGAAAATGATACGATAACAGAATTGACAAAAGAACATGCATCTGGAAATCCAACAAAATCAACATGCAAGTTCACTACTAAAACATGATAATCATAAGAATCCATAAATCAAACGGGTAATGAAATCATGCAGCTAACGATCAGGATAATCATCCAAGTAACAGGGGCATAC